CTCATACAAACGTTCCAAGATCATGTGAGAGTTTCATATAAGCGTAATCATACTATGAGTCATTCCTAAAAGCTAACACTATTGGAGAGGCCGGCTTAGAGCCAGTGACTAGATTATACCATTATGGGTGCCCTTAGCCTAGCGCAGGATGTGGGTTTCAAGACGTTTTTCCCGTGCATGCTCAGCTGCAGAACTTGGCAGCCTAAGTTTTTAGGTAATTTTCCTGTGTCTATAAAATACCCGAGAAAGAAATATTCATACCAATAGAAAAAATCATCTTTGTTCCTATTGGTTCGGTTATATTTGTGTCGGTTACCACGCACTAGTCAGGACGATTCGTATATTTTTCTGTTGGTGGAGGCCGTACCGATAGGGAATTCCAGTTTCCAAGTGGTATTTATGGGAAAAAAACTAGAGTTTGGTGTGTGTGTGTGTGTTTTTTTTTGACGAATAACTAGAGTTTGGTGTAGGGTCATGTTTGTCGAGCTTAATGAGGCCATCGAGAGTCTCATAAAAAAGGAGATTCAGCTTGGAGTCTTTGAAAGGCTGAGCGGAGCCAAAACTACAAACTGAGCTGAGCCGGCTTTTGCAGCCTCATGGAAGCAACTTTTATTTATTTAAAACAGACGATAGTAACACAGTTGGTACACACCTGACAGCAACCACGCATGGCTGCAAATGCACAAGGTACTAAAAAATGAAAAGCAACAACGTCGACTTAACCAGATCGACGCAAGTCACGAAAGCAAATTAAATACAACAAGCACCTGAACCAATCGAAGCCCAAGCAAGACTACTTGGGCTACGTACTTGCATGTTAAGCCAATTTATTCTTGGGCCATCGTCGCAGCCAAACCACACAGGGCACGCACAGATGTTCGTTGGAGACGAGAGCAGGAAGAGATCTAGCGGCGAGCGAACAAACCATCTGGTTTGCAGAGACAGATCGGGGGATAAGAAGGAAGGCCGGGGAAAGCAGGCAGGTGGGCAGGGGTCGCCAAGTCTATTCTCTACTGCAGCAGCAGCATCGGCAGGGAGCACCGGCAGCGAGGCCGGTTTCCCGGGCACCTCGCGCCGCTCGTCCGCAAGCAGTCTCCGAGGCTGCGGCGACGCACTACTAGCCATTAGCAGCTGGCCCATGGTCAGCACCAGCAGCAGCATGATGACGGCGGCCGTCTTGATAGTAAAAGCAGCGGACGCCATGGCAGCTTGCAACTGACGTCGCTGATCGAACAGGAAACGATGAGTACTACTCCAATTCTGAGATCAGGTCTGAAGAGAGGCGCTGAGGATGGCTTCGTGGTTCTGCGCTATTTATGGAGGGGGCGTGGATGAGCATGCCACGCATGAAGTCAGACTAAACACAATGCTAGGTTTTATGAAGTGGGCAAGGTGAGTTTCTGCTGGGGTTTACTAAACTGCTGAGGTTGCTATCTGCCTGTGTGGCCGGCCGGGAAACAGCGACAGGCCAACAATACACTGAAAACTAGTGGCAGGAAACCAAATTATATGACCCGTTTCATGTGTCATTTCCTTCACGTTGCGCTGGCTTTAATTTAAGGGCTAATTGGAATGGTGCCACTACAACTTTCGTGGTTCTGACTTATGAGAAATGCCATTATAATTCGCCTATTTTGAATACGCCATTATAATTTTGCCACTCCTCAAAATACACCATACACCATGCTCCACCCGAGTCTGCACGCCTTCGCTCGTTGCTCGCCGTCGACCGAGCTCGCCGTCGCGCGTGCCAAGCCACCTGAGCAGCACGCCTGCGCTCGCTGCTCACTGGCGACCGAGCTCGCTATCGCAACTGCTGGGATTGCTATCAGCTTGTATGGTCGGCCGCCCGGGAAACAGCGACAGGCCAACAATACACTGAAAAGTAGTGGCAGGAAACCAAATTATATGACCCGTTTGATGTGTCGTTTCCTTCACGTTGGGCTTCAATTTAATCTCCTGCGCAGTGTTTACTATATCCAGAAGAACTTTTCTTTGTAAGTCAAACAAAATGTTGTTTTAGCTCGGCATAGCGAAGATGACTCATATGTTTAATATAATCTATCTATGTATACTATATATAGAACTACTATCCCGTGACTGGCTATAAAATAACTTATTCTATAGCCACTTTGAGTTACGATAATTGCTATGTTAATTTACGAGATTATAGTAACTTCTTACTAAGTGGTTTACTATAACGTTCACTAGTAGAGAAACGACCTTTGATCCCGCCTCGAAATTTGGCTTCAGTCCCGGTATTTTTCGCGCCCGGGACTAGAGAGACCTTTAGTCCCGGTTGGAAGCTCCAACCGGGACTAAAGGTCACTGCCCAATAGCTACTGCGGCAGGCTTTTGTTGCAGGGGACCTTTAGTTCCGGTTAGAGCTACCAACCGGGACTAAAGGTTAACTTTTACTCTCAGTTGATCCCTCCAACCAGGAGTAAAAGTCTAGTCCCGGTTAGAGGCTTCGTCCGGGACTAGAAAGAGACATTTAGTCCCGGTTGCTGTCTCCAACCGGAACTAAAGCTGATCGAGCAGGTGAGGCATCAACAGAGGTAAAGCTAATGGACTATTGCAGCCGAGACTAATGGAGCGCCGCAAGTACAAGCAGCGGTGCTAACTAAATAGAATAAGAAGAGGGAGGAGAGAGATTGACACACATGGTGAACCAGCACATGCACGGAACCGGTTCTAGCTTTTGCTTTTTCATTTTTTTTTTCTATTTTCTCTGTGGGCCCCACGACGGGTGTCAAAACAGTGATCGATGCCAACTTCTCTCACGTGGACCTTCAACAGTTTTGGGCATCACTCTCCATTGTGGAGGGCAGCTACTAGAATAATGATTGAATACACTGACATGGTGCACGCAAAATATTGAGTCTGTTCGATGCAACTGAACACAACCAAATCAATTAGTCCCGGCTGGTATTACGAGTCGGGACTAAAGATAATAACTTTAGTGTCGGCTGGTATTATCAGCAGGGACTAAAGGTCTTTTAGTCTCGGACGTTTACAGGAGCCGAGACTAAAGGTCTTCAACCGATTGAGCTCTGTCGATGGGCTGGCTCGACTTGAAGCCCACACATAGGAGAGAGCATATACCAGAATGGAGCTGGCCAGTCCCACCTATTAGCACCACCTCGCTTGCTCAGAAGAGTGAAAGCTAACTTAAAAACTCAGCTCTGGAGCCATGCACCACGATCTTACTTGAACATGATCTGTTCTATAGGATCGTACTGCTACATCCTTCCTTGTACTGTTGATGTAGATCTACATCGAGCTCTTCATCAACCAGGAGAAACAAGCTCCAAATCATATGAAAACTAATTTAAGTTTCTACATAACATGCCCATATCAACAACTACTTCATCGTCGAGGCAAATCTGGCCACCATTTGTGACGTGGTTTGCACAAGGAGAGAGGGGAGGAGGTAATGACGATTTCGATTGTGGATTTCTTGTTGAGAGTTGGAGTATGGACAAGGCTCAGCCATGGCGGCCTTGGTGGTGCATTTGGAGTTTATGGGGAACTCAAGTTAGGGGAGGGGGAAGAGACAGGACAAATGGTTGGAGTAGTTGATATGCATGACAGCAGGCAACCTGCAAGCATGGCTGCAAATGGACGACATGCTGTAAAACGAAAACCAACAACGTGCCGTCGTCTTAACCAGATCGACGGAAGTGACGAAAGCAAATTAAATACAAGAAGTAGCTTAACCAATCGAAGCAGCCCAAGGTAGACTACTTGGGCTACGTATATGCATGTTCAGCCAGCCAATTTGTTCTTGGGCCATCGTCGCAGCCAACCACGACCACACAGGGCACTCACAGACGTTCGTTGGAGACTGAGAGCAGGAAGAGGTCCAGCGGCCAGCGAACAAACCTGCAGACTTAATTGGGCAGAAACAGCCGCCCCAAAGATCTTCAAAGCAGCTAGGTGGGCAGCCAGATCTATTCTCTACTACAGCAGCATCGGCAGGGAGCACCGGCAGAGAGGCCTGTGTTCCCTGGCACGTGCGTCGGGACACGTCGCAACGCTTGAGGGAGTGAGAGACATGTGGAACCAGCTGTTCACCCAAGCAACAGTGTTTTTCTCCCCACAAATCAGCGAACAATATTTTTCAGCTCGTGTTTTCAACAAAGCGACATTATGCATTTATTGCTGCTACAGGAATAGACCGTAAACACTATGAAGCTGCACCACGAGAAACTGACACCAAAAGTTCACCTTAGCCTATGCATCCATAAGAAATAAAATAACATTATTTCTTTCTCTTCTCTCACCCATCTCGCTCCTTTGCACGATGGACCGTTGCTGTTGGTGCCACCGCTAGGAGCTCACCGGAAGAGGCAGAGTAAAGTCCTCTTGGAGGCACCTCTCTAGCACCACCGCCTACAGCAGTTGAAGAACAATGCAAGAACAACAGAAGGAGCTTTGGCTGTCGCTGCGGCAACAGCAATGAGTGTGGAGCCAGGAGCCGGAGGACGAGATGCGCGGCGCCTATCCTGCTCGTGCTCACCGCTGGTGTTAGGGAAGAAGACGGGGTCTAGGGGTCTGGGAGAGCTCACTGGTAGCTGGGGTGGCTGCCCCACCCCGCCGCTAGGGTGGCTCCGTCACTGATGGAGGTGTCATCTCCGCTCTTACTAGCCCTGTCTCATCATCTGTTTTTCCATGATAATACGAGGCTGATTTGGCATGTTTGGCATCAAAAATAGGCCTCCAACTACCACATGGCCATGAAGGCCCGTCTCGGATACATATTTTAAGTATGGTATAACCTTTTTCTATTTCATTTTTCTCCTTTTAAAAAAATCATTTTTCTTTTTCTTATTTATTTTATTCTAATTATATATATAATATATATAAGTAGAGAATATATAGTGCTTGTCTTTGGGCCGTTGGGCGAGGCCAGCCCACCTGTCCGATTTCGATACCCAGCCCAGAGAGCCCACGTCTGCCCCGTTGACGGGAGCAAAATCGGGGCGGAGGCCGGAGGGATGGAAGTGATGAAGGGGGAAGGCGGCGCCGGCGTGCCAGAAGAACGCAGGGAGAACGGAGGAGGATTCGATTGGTCCGGATTCTTCAAGGTAAGCACGTACTCCTGCTTGTTGATCAACACAGGTCCCTTATGCCCTTTTATCTGTAGTTCGAGGACGAAAGAAAATCGAAAAATCTGTCCAGAATTGCCTCGCCGAGTGCCGTCATCCGAAGATTCATCCTGTTCCTTTATTATCTGGCGGGAAGTTGTGGCGTTGGGGATTCGTTAGTTTTCGCGCATCTATAGGTATTTCCAACTCAGCACTTGGGGACTGGGGTCGCCGTTGTGGCCGGGAGCGGCACGGCGGCAGAGGGGCATGCCTCTGTGAGGATGTGCATCGAGAAAGTTAATGGTGCCGGCTCTGGATGCCCAAACCCAGTGGGCGTTGTCATGAATCGGTCACTGCACGGCTCTGTAAATGAGTGAGTGGGCAAATAATTCAGAGGATCCGAACCACCACAGCCGCTACTCTTCACTGTTACCGCCTGCCGCGATGGCTGTAACAGGTGTGATGCTCGGTGCTCCTGCTACCCATGCCTGTTGCTGTTGCAATCAGCTCCCTCTAGTTTTGTCCTTCCACCAGAACCACCAGCTGCAATGTCACTTCATTCGAGCTCTGCATGCTTCGTGCTAACTTTGGTAGGATTCCTCCGATTGCTGTTTTTGTTAACTTGGCTTCGTTGAGTTCAGTAATGTGCAGCTCAGTGAACCGTACCTGCTGCAGCCAGTTTGTAGCTTGTATGTCATTCAAGAAAATTTGGTTGATTGATATGGTTCTAGAAGAGCCAGAAAATGCTTACAAAGTTCTCAAAATTATGGGAAGTTCAGCAATATAAAATAGTTCGAAGCTGCTGTGATAAAAATCTTTACATCTTCTGTGCTAGTGTTAACTTCTGCGATAGCCAAATTTCAAGAACTTGCAGTTACACAGGATAATGTTAGGAGTTACACAGGATAACGTTAGGAGACTTTGCTGCACAATATTCCTAACTTCTAGCAAAATTTGCATTTATTGTCTTCTCTGCTTTACTGCTTTGTTCACATTTCAGTTAATAAGTCCAGCGGCATGTGGTGGTAAATCAATTACTTAAGGACATTTGTTAGGGAGAACATGTGAGTCCATGTGGCCATAGCTTACAAGGGTTGGGTTCATGGTAGCATAAGGCAACATCAGATGCAGCATGTGTCAGCATGTAGTGAGGTAGATGGTGTCAGAAAGCTTGTGAGAAATGTGGCAACAGGGTTAGGGGCAGACTGAGTTTTGTTACTCATGGGATTGTGGAAGCCCAAGTATTTGTGTGTGCATGACTTGTATCACTATTTAATCCAATTGCGAATTTGCTACATGTCATCTGGTTGAAGCTGCAAATAGCACCCAGTTTCAATCAGAGGTAGAGCTTTATTCAGGCCAAAGTGGGCCATTGCCCCCCCAACTCCCCTTCTGCTGCTTGGTTCAAGCTCTCCCACTGGTCTGGTTCCAATGCTTTTGTTTTATAAGCTCCTCAACCATTATACTGATAATGCGCATACCATCAATCCTTCTGAAAGTTTCTGTGGGACTCTTTTGTTACAGTAATATCACTATATGCTAGCGATAGAATTAATGATAAGTAATATTCTCCTTTATGATAATTATGGCAAATGCAACTATAATGTTCCAAATTTCATAACTAACATTTTAAATTTCTGTGGTTGTTTTTCAGAATCCTTACATATTGCTACAAATCGTCTTATACGTCTATCTGTTTTACACAAAATTACCTGGCCTTGATGAGGTGGGTCCACTGCTGGTTTGGCTCCTGCTTCTTTTGCCAATGTGCGTGTTGAATCTGCTGGGAACCCATAAGCTGAAGGGATTAGCTGATAAACATAAACGTGACAAGCAGACTTAGTAATTTTAGTTTAGTTTTCACACTCTAAGCTTGCTTTTACGTGTAAGTGTGGTGTTGTAACACTAGCTATTATGCACTTATCGATAAAATATTTGGTTTTTTTTCTTCTCTTTAACTAGTAGTACTAGTATATGCTGACATATTTGGCATTTGATGAGAATTTTGTGGTGCACTATTGTGGATGTGTGCTAAGGGCCCTGTTGAAAGAAGTGTGTGATCAGCGAAGCCCGAGACTTACAAAGAAAAAAAGCACAATGGAATAGCGTGGGATACTGTTAGTGAAACTGTGAACATGTCTTTGCAAAAACCAAAACCATATGTTGTATTCAGGAGAGATGGCACTCAGTGTGTTTGTATCACCCTGACTAGATGAGACCTGTGTTTGGAGCAGATAGGCCTGACTCCTGAGATATGTGAGGGTTAAATGCATCATAGCCTAACACTATTTCCATAAATGAATTAATGTTAGCTTTCAGATGACGTTTAATCTCAAATTCTCAAGAATATATTGCATGTAACTACAGTGTGACAGAAGCCTGGGTCATCTGTTTCACAGGAAACCTGATTCTTTATTGGTTGGAAGCTAAGAAAAGAATCAGAAGATGTGATGAAAACATGCAATTAAATTTGTGCAAGTATCAATGCTGGCAACATATTCTTTGTTGAGGGAGCAGTATTGTATCTGTTGCGGAGCAATATTTGTGCAAACTACAATGTGGCTGAGGGAGCAGCAGACTATTCACTTGCGGAGCTTCTTTGTTGTGCACCAATCAGTGTTTATGCTTTGCCGTGTTAATACTCAAGATCAGTATTGTATCTGTTGTAGCGATGTAGGTTCAAATTTGTATGCTAACTAGGTCCCATGTTCCTTGGAACATGGGTGCCATTGCTGATTAAACATCAGATCCATGTTGGCAACCATGTACGGCAATACAAAGTTCCATTTCATGCAGGGAGTTATTAATTTCAGTGTATCAGTGATGCTTTGAAGTTATGGGTGGAATTGAGACTGCAGAACTAGTTGAAACGAATAGGAATGGAGATAGGCTTTCTAATTCGTTATACTAATGTTTTTTATTCTTTGGTCAAAGGGCTGCCTTGGTACAGACCGAAGGGGTTCAACAGTTAATTTACAAAATGCTGCTTTTTTTTTGTCTATACCAATATGCAGCCAAGTGCAGTAGTGTAGACTTAGTGATTTTAATTATGGATGTGTGCTAGCTATCTACTAGAACTGGAGAAGTAGATTGGGAATTAGAGAATTGGGGGATTGGAATTTATAGTCAGGTCTGTATGGCTGGGGTTTTGTCTTAATAGTTGCTAAGCTTCTCCCACTCCGCTTAGGTTCTGTTGGTGCTGAAGTACATTAGTGTTTGTGTAATCACTAACTTGAGAACAGCACCAGATGACATTCACTCTAGATTCTACCATTCAGCAGATATTACTTTACTGGTGCTTCCTTGCTAGTTGCTACACACTAGTGACTAGTCCTTGTACTCAGGTAAACAAAAACAGCACCAATATCCAGTCAGAGCTACTAATCCAGTTAAGCAAAACAAGGCAGACCCAGGGCAGGCAATCTCTACTTGACTTTTTTTTTTCAGAAAAAATGTTTGCGACACCTCATCTTTGCAGATGTTTGGCTCTCACCAGAAGGTTCCTCTATTTTCCCAGACGCAGGAATAGAGAACTATTTAGGTGATAAAATGTTAATTAATGAATGGTAAACGGTCGTCAACGATCTGTCTATTTATTGGTTATAAACTAAATCGGATAAAAGCGGTCTTTTATCTTTGTTTGCATCTCAGTAAAAACATACTACCTATGTTACAAAGTATAAGTCGTTTTGACTTTTTAAATACATAGATATCTACTTTGTTAGACGCGTAACTATGTGTCTAGATACGTAGGTAGGAGAGAAGAGTGTGCAGCCATCAAACACTGACTGATCAGCTCATCACAGTCCTGCACTCATGCTGACGCCTCCGCGCAGCGAAGCATGTTTGCGACCAGGGTACATTCGCAGCAGGACTGAGAACAATACAACACACAGGGGAAAAAAATAAGATACAACATTAGGAATTGAGACACTGGTTGTGACTACAGAAGCACCATGCAGCGTCCAGAACAATGGCCACATCAGTGGCACAGCCTAAGCAAATTTGAGGGTGGTGCACTTGCCTTGTGGGTGCATAGACTTATGCTATAGGTGATAGGTGGTGCATATATGGTGAAATTTTAGAAAAAACCATTGTTTTCACAAATTTTGATTAGTGCATTTGCACCCACTAGCTAGAGGCTAGCTTCGCCCCTGGGCCACATCACATTTTGATCATTCAACAAGTTTCAGACCTTACTGGGAGAATACCATCGCCTGTCTTTATGGATTATTGGAGCTTCACAATCATTTAGCCAAGTTGCAAACCGGTTTGAGAGGTCAGTCGAAGCAATTAGTAGAAAATTTGTCAAAGTTTTGGATAGTGGCAATCTTCTTGCTAAAGATCTTATCAAACAAGAGATCGAGAGTTCAATTAATTAAGTGCTTCCTAAACTTGAAAATTCCTTGTTTCACACCACATTTCAATAATTGCATAGGCATAATATATGGCACACATGTACTGTTAGCGTGCATTTGTCAATGTTGATTCACGTGTTTGAAGACATGGATACGAGGTTCATTTTTGTTGCCACAGGATGGCCTGGCTGCTTTACGTAAATACGCTACAACTTTCCATATATGTCCTCCAAAAGGTACTGTGTCTATCCTCATTTTCATTAAACAAGCAACAATCTCAACACTTTTTTTTAATGAGGGTTTTACCTATGTACCATTAAAAAACATGGTCCTTACCTAGGCCATTAGAAAGTTTGAGCACATCTAGGTGTCCCTCGCCTAAACTTTTTGTCGTCCAACCCATTCCGTCTGGTTTTTATCGGCCCGACCAATGAAAACATCTAAAGTGTCCTTCTCTCGTAGTCATATCCTCTTACTTCTTTCTCTCTGCCTGGTGGGGGTAAGCTGTCAGCGACCCAACACCTTCTTCCTCTCAAGCTGTCGGGCCTCGTTGGGTGGAGCAGCGCACACACGGCCAGCTAGGAGAGTAGTCGGCCCGCGCGGGGTGGAGCGGCGCACGCACGTACGGCCGTCGGCGGGGACGGCCCGCGCGGGGCGGAGCGGCCGGCGGCGCACGCGCGGCGCCATGGCGACAGCCATAGCACGCGCGCACGGCGCCCGGACTGCCACGCGAGGGTCTGCAAGGAACGAGGAGCGCGCGGCGGCGGCCTCAGATCCGAGACCCTGAACACCGCCATCGAGTCGCCGCCGCCCTCCACGCGTAGCTCCTCACCCTCCGACGACGAGGATTTGGTACAACCGCGTGCATATACCCACCTTGATCGGACGGTGTAGGACAACGAATCGCGTGGAGATTGGAGACGGGGAAGGACATCGTTTATGAGTAATGATAACACCGTGGCGCCTACGTGGTGCCTGCGTGGATGGGGGACAAGAACAGATGTTCCCTGACAAAAACAGATAGGTAGCTGGGGCAATTAATGAAACTGATGCGTGGATTCGGCCGTAAGATTGCTGCGTTCATAAGATAGGAGCGGTATAAGTGCCTAGTTTCCAAAATTTTATAAAATTTTTCAAGATTTTCCGTCACATCGAATCTTTGGACGCATGCATAAAGCATTAAATATAAATAAAAAATAAAACTAATTACACAGTTTAGACGAAATTCACGAGACGAATCTTTTAAGCCTAATTAGTATACTAATTGCCAAATAACAACGAAAATGCTACAGTACCATTTCCTAAAAAATTTCGCCAACTAAATAAGGCCCAAGAAAGTTGAAGGAGAGGCTGCCGAGACTTAGGCCGTGTTTAGTTGGGTGAAAGTTGGAAATTTGGCTACGGTAGCACTTTCGTTTTTATTTGACAATTAGTGTCTAATTAGGCTCAAAACGTTCGTCTCGCAATTTCCAACCAAACTGTGCAATTAGTTTTTTTTTTCGTCTATATTTAATGCTCCATGCACGTATCATAAGATTCGATGTGATAAATACTGTAGCACCTTTTGAAAAAAGTTTTCGCGAACTAAACAAGGGCTTAGGAGATAGATGATGCAGAACATAAGGGCTTAGGAGATAGGTGATGCAGAACATAAGGGCTTAGGAGATAGATGATGCAGAACTATCAAACACTGAGAGGTGGAGAGGGTCTACCCACGCTGGCGCGGCGGTTGTAGCAGCGATCGAGCAGCCAGCTAAGAATACAAACAAGTACTAGCACAGAAATGTTGCGGCGAGGAGCATTGAGGATTGATGGGCAAGCTGCAGTGGCGGGCGGAGGGGCGGTGGAGATGGAGCAAGCAGACGACGGGGGGCAGGTATCCAGCCTACCAGCTGTAGGAGCCGCAAACAACGAAAATACGTGCGATGGAAGGGGAAGACTAGGGACAGAGCTCAATAGCCTACATGCGACTCCATCACCATTTGTAACTTAAGAAAAGGTACGCCGACAAATTCTGAATTGATGCAGTTACTTAAGTGCGGGGACGTATATATATATATATATATATAAATGGTGAATCGATTAGGGATGGAGAGCTGGTGTGCCGCTGAAACTATGCTTTCTGTGGGGCGACGTATTAAGATCAGATGAGGAGCTACCACTAGGCCGAGCTAGGGCGGCCGCCCTAGGTCCCTTTCCTTTCTGAGGGGAACCGCTTCCCTACCCCATGTTTGAGGGCAGGCGAGGCCGCGAGCGTGAGGACGCGATGAGGCGAGGTTGAAGACGAAGACAGCGCTGCTAGTACGAGTAGGAGATGGGACTTGGACCTAGTTGCCTGAAACTGGGCCGCGACGATTGCAACGGCCCAATAGACACCCATCAGCCTAGGCCCAGATGCCTTACGGGCCTACTGCAGGGCACAGGGCGGTAACCCTGACCATCGCCGGTTTCTGACCCCGCAACCAGACAGCAGCCGCGCCGCCGCAGCCTCCAGGCTCTCACTCACCACCCAGCGAGCTCGTCCTCAACCGGCGACGGCCGATTATGCGACTACCCGCAAGCTGCAAGCGGCTCCACCGCGTCGCCGCTGGCCGCCGCAGACCGGTGGCCTGCGAGCCCGGCACGCGCCTCGGCACTCAGCGGCTGTAGCGCGCCTGGCGTCGGCCGGCGCAGGTCTGAAGACTGGAGGCTGCAGCGTGAAGCGCCGCCTGTCCAATCCTAAAGCTCCCAGGACGTGGCGTGTCCTGTGCCCAATTCCTGCGGATTTTGTATTTTTAAAATTATGGCCAATTCGCATGTGTACATGTCCTTTTTACTTTCTTGAATGCTTTTATGATTAACGTCATTTTCTTATTGACTTGTCTTCAAGATTGTTATGTTATGTACGGTATTTCTCTATTGAGGCATGTATTATTGTTAGTTTCGCTGTTACAAAATGGAAAGCTCATCGTATCTGCTGGTAATCAGGAAGAGAGGGATGTCAGGGCCGGATGTAGAAGAAAGTGCAATTACAAGGGCGATAAAGACATCAGAGAACCGCAAGCATGATCCAATTTTCTATCCATATGAAGGGACAAGATTCAACTCCTTCGAGGAGGCCAAGAAATTCTACAACCTGTACTCTTGGGAGATAGGCTTCGGAATACGGATTTCGAAGGGTAGGAAGAACGACAATGGCCCCGTTCGGCTTGCTGAAACTTTGTTGAAATTGGCTGAAAACACGGTTCTGGCTGAATTGTTGTGCGGCTGAAAAAACAAGCTGAATAGTACAGATTATAAGGTAAGCCGCTACAAAAAAGGACATATGTTGCTCATGCGAGGTAAGTGTTTCGGGAACTTGAATGAAGCACTTGATACAATGCTTTGGTAGTAATAGTAACATTGTTCTGAAAATTGCACGGTCACAGCCCGAATCCAAACGCAGCATCATGCAGGACAGGCTGTAAGGCAATGATCAGGCTGTAAGGCAATGATCAGGCTGTTAAGGCTTAAAGACCATAGCTGGGACATTAGCCGGAGTATTACCGAACACAACCACAACCTGTCAGGGAGCTGTGGGGAAAAGAAGCAGTGGAACTCACACAAAAAGATCGACCCTGTGACAAAGGATTTCATTAGACGGCTTAGAGAGAACAATGTATTAACATGCAGAGTATGCAGCATACTAGGGACAACCGGCGGAGGAGGTGGACTGCCAGTGCGAAGGGAAGTGATAAGGTCCGTATGTGCCAAGCTAGCACAAGAGAACATAAGAGATGACCAGGCGAAGACTATGAAGTTGCTAGAGAAGATGAAAGAGTCTGATGTTGAAATGGATGTTAGATTCAAACTGGATTCAGATGGGAGAATCATGAGAATGTTGTGGTGCACAGGTCGGAACAAAGAAAGATACAAGCAATTCGGCGACACAATCACGTTTGACACGGCGTATAGAACAAACCTATACGACTTACCATTTGGGCTGTTTGTGGGGGTTAACAATCATTTCCAGTCAACTGTGTTTGGTGGAGTGCTGCTAACATCTGAGAAGACAGAGGACTTTGAGTGGGCTTTCAAGAGCTTCGTAGATATCATGGGGGGAAAAGAACCCCATACAATACTAACAGGTATGAAATTGGATCAATGCGCTCTCAAATAAGTTGTTGCATTGTTGCATACTAGCAGGGCGCCG